TCCATCATTCATCTATAAAACCACATCTCCGGAGCTTCCAAATAAGTTTTCACTAGTTAAATAATTTAATTCACTAATTCACAAATAGAAATATAGGAGACACAAAGAAGGAGTGGCAGCAGCTGCGACTAGTTCCGGGACCCACCTGTCCTTGTTTTTTTTTTATTTTAGTAGTCTTATCACCTACTCTGTGACGTCTATACCCAGTTCCATGACTCACCTGTCGCGTTGACAGATTCAGTATTCTTGTCACCTGCTCTGTGACTCACCTTCTACTCTATTCTGTGACTCTCCTGTATCAAGTCCCCACTTCCCATTTCCATGAATCACCTGTCATGTGCGTTCATACCAAGTTATATGACACACCTTTCCTGTGACGCCCTTGTCCAGTTATATAACTCACCTGTCCTGCGACGTATCTACTCAGGTCCATGACTCACCTGTCCTGTGACGTTTCTACCCAGTTCCATAACTTACCTTTCCTTTGACGCCTTTGCCCAGTTATATAAATCACCTGTCGTGTGACGTCTCTACTTAGGTCCATGACTCACCTGTCCCGTGACGTCTCTACCCAGTTCCATAACTCACCTGTCCTGTGACGTCTCTACTCAGGTCCATAATTCACCTGTCTCGTGACGTCTCTACCCAGTTTCAAAACTCACCTGTCCTGTGACGTCTCTACCCAGTTCCATGACTCACCTGTCTCGTGAAGTAAACATCCAGTTCCATGAATCACCTGTCCTCTAAGTAAACATCCAGTTCTTTGACCCACCTGTCCCGTGACGTAAACATCCAGTTCTATGACCCACCTGTCCTGTGATGTAAACATCATGTTCTATGTCCCACCTGTCCTGTGACGTAAACATCCTGTTCTATGTCCCACCTGTCCTGTGACGTAAACATCCAGTTCTATGACCCACCTGTCCCGTGACGTAAACATCCAGTTCTATGACCAACCTGTCCTGTGTGCAGTGTCAATGCCGCCCCGGATGAAGAGATCCTGGCCTGGGTTGGTCTGCTTCTGGATCAGTATCACTGTCCTGACATAGTCAGCTGACCCACTAGGGGTCCAGGGTACCTGGGTGGGTCCTTGTGTCACAGGATTCACATTTGGTCCCTGTGTACCTGTGGTTACCACCGGAACCGCGATGTGATCACCACCCTCTGTGGTAAAACAAAATATGCTTGTGAAAATTTAACACTGCAAACAAGACACTGCAGGCTTAACCGATACATGCATGAAATGAAGAATGTATAGTGCCCACAGTGTAACTGTCAGACAGGAACACATACCACTGAGCACATTTTGCAGACCTGTCCCCTCTACCTACAACTTCGAAAAGAAGCCTGGCATCAAGAGCAAAGTGTGCACACTAAGCGATGGGGAACCAAGAAGGACCTGCAGCTGACATTCGAGTTCATAGAAGCAACCCACCTGATGGTCTGATCGTAGCAGACGAAACCGGATGCAAAGAAGATATTTATCAATAGAATCTAGATAACGCAATATAATTAAAAAAGAAAATTCGGAATGTTCCGATCTGTTTACCACTGCTAGGTTGTGAGCCTGAAGATGTAGGGTCATATCGCTGTTGACAGAGACTGTAGAGATCAGCTCCCTGGTGAAGTGGACACTTTAGTCAACACACTGAGTGATGAGAACACAAATCTCATTGATGCTGTGGTGCTGTGATTTACACGGATGGATCCGTCACCCGGGATATGTGAAGTACATGGGCGTTCACTTCAAGGGCAAGGTGGTGGGGGGGGGGGGGTGTGGGGGGATTAACCCAGCCTCACAATAGAGATCAGCCCCGAAACACGGGCACTGAGATGGCTGGGTGCTCAAGAATTCCCATAAAGTGCATACTGAGCTATTCGACGAAAATACTCAGCGAATCCAAGCCGGCTTTATCAGATATGAATGGATTCTCTCATTAAATTCAGCACGAATAATTCGCCCAACCTTTATCTTTGTATCTAGTCATGCAAGTGTTCAAGGCAACGAGCAGGCAGATTTTCTGGCGCACAAATCTATTAACACGACTGGGCTGGAACGGGATAAAAAGAATGTCATTAATACCATGCGAAATATTCACCACGAGCCAAGGATACCTCGACTGAATGCAGAATTCAGTATCTTTGTCTATATTTTAGACAGTGGGGTGCAACCTGCGGCAGCCAGTCATGAACATTTCACCAAAGGTACACACAAGATTAATCAACACACATGGGAGCGTGTTCTGTCGTTTTACTCTAATGGAGCTACTGAGGAGGATATCAGAGCGCCTATTGAACTGTCCGCAGTGCTATGATGATAGCCCTCACTAATCACTAATTTAAGGTCATATGGTTGGTCAGTCGCCCCAAACTATGCAGGTCACGATTACATCAGAAATAGCGATCCCTTACAAAAGATTGAGCTCAGGTCTTACTAGTTAAATGTCTTCCTAAATGACAGAGGGGTCTTTGGAACATTGTCAGGTTCGTATCAAGTATAACAGATCAATATGCGGATTCGAACCCAAGCTAATAATTTTAGGATCAGATATTATTTATATACGTAAAAATAATAACAACGGTGCGTAAAGGTAAACTAATAAATTTAAATTGTAATGTCTCGTTCTCTCTATATATTTATTGTATGGTTAAAGGACCCTTTTCAAATCCTTTAGGCGTGTTGGACATGTAATGCCGGACTGTTGTGTGGCAGGACTTATTAATGTGAAAAAGTATGTGTAATCCATGTGGTCTTTTAATTGTATTCAATACCATCCATGTTTCCGAGTTAAGTTTAGAGAGAGAGAGAGAGAGAGAGAGAGAGAGAGAGAGAGAGAAAGAGAAAGAGAGAGACAGACAGACAGACAGACAGACAGACAGACAGACAGACAGACAGACAGACAGACAGACAGACAGACAGACAGACAGACAGACAGACAGACAGACAGACAGACAGACAGACAGACAGACAGACAGACAGACAGACAGACATGGACAGACAGACAGACATGGACAGACAGACAGACAGACATAGACAGACATGTACAGACAGACAGACAGACAGACAGACAGACAGACAGACAGACAGACAGACAGACAGACAGACAGACAGACAGACAGACAGACAGACAGACAGGACACACACACAGACAGCGAAAAATTACCTGTAATCTTCTCTCTTCATCAGCATTCCGAGCCCTTGATGTTCATTGCTGCAGATATTACCCGCCTCCATGTCTAGCTCTGGTTGGCCGTCTCTCTCCACTTGGTGACACCAAGTATTTGCAGGTCTGTCTGAATATTGTCTTTCCATCGTCTTTTGGGTCTGCCTCGTGGTCTACGACCATTGCTCTCCCTTATGTATATAGTTTTTACCGCTCTATCATGACATTCTCTCAGTGTGTCCCAGCCAGTTTTTACTATTAGATCTCATGATGCCAATAATCAATGCTGATTTAAACACATTATGAATTTCCCTGTTGCTTCTCACTCTCCATTCCCCTCTGTTTACATCTTTGATGGGTCCAAAGATTCGTCGTAATGCTCTGTTTTCGAAAACCTGTAGCCTTCATCTCTTTTAGTTATTCTCCAAGTTTGAGAGTCATTTAAACAACTGATGTTATCAACATTTTAAATATATATTGATATAGGTGTTTCGAGATAGAGACTTTGACTTTAACAGATGTTGAAGGGCATAGAATACTTTATTCCCATATTGTATTCTAGATTGTATTTCTTCTTTCAGCATGTTGTAGTAGTTAAAGTGTGCAACCAAGTACTTATATGTTACCGTTCGTATGATTTTCATATTATCGACTTGTATGTGGCCAGAGTTTCTATCCTTTACCTGTCGTGTTATTATCATGTATTCTGTCTTATCTTGATTGATAATTAGTCCCATTCTGTGAGCTGCTTCTTTTAAGAGAGTCAGAAATTACCTGTAATGATTGCCACAAATGGTTCCCCCGGGTCGTGTGGAGTGATCTGGGCATTTCCGCTGCCATCGACCGTGACCTTCATGGCGCACTCACTGATGAGGTCGCAGTACCGGCCGGCCGGGAGACCTGCGGACCACACAGACACACACATATTCTTGATCTAGTTAGTCAGTGAGGGGAAAACAAGTGAACATTCACACACACGCACACGCACGCGCACGCACACACACGAACATGATACGCATAAATGTGGCTTCCATCACACACACACATATATCTCACACACATATATCTCACACAGACATATCTCACACCCACATATCTCACACACACATATCTCACACACAGAGTAGCTTATGTACCACACAGTAATATCTTTAAACTCTTGCGGACAGTTATGGTTGTTCGTCCATTTCTGGACTCTAGTCCTGTTGCAGAACCTAAGTTCTAAAGGTCTGACTTATATGCATGTAGACTGTTGGTTCCTTGCCTTTTAAGTAGATGTACTTCAAAGGACGCTTTCAATTAGTCGACTTTTACGACATGCTTTTGGGCAGGCAGTGTGTCTATTTTTGTTTCCCCCCACAATAGGGCCCCATAACCCACACGGGGAAATTGTCATATTCAATAACAAAGTCTCGATTCGTTTACGAAACACAGAAGGAGAGTCCCGTAGCCCGGGAATCACGACCCGGGTCGATCCGTCCCCCGAAAACTGTTGAGGGATTAAACAGGCCGAAACAGTTGTTGAACTGGAGCTCTCTACTGAAATACGGTAGATTCCTGTTGTGTGTGTTTCCAAAATGAAGTACCCACTACTACTCACCTGTGTTGACGGTAACGCTGAAACTATTGGCACTCATGGCAAAAAAACCTTTGTTGCCTCTACTGAATGACAAGACGCCATTGCTGTATCGGAAGTTCTCTCGCTTGGTTCCCGCCACGGCGTTTCGGAACATGGCCATGTTGCCTATGGCTTTCCATCTGAAAGAATGAGTTTAAATTTGATTTGCTTTGATTACCATCAAATTTTATTCGTTTGCATTTGCTTTAGTCTGTTTCATTGATTTGTGATTTAAAAAAAAAAAAAAAAAAAACTAAAGAACCCAGGTACTTCCACAGAGAAGACAAGATCAAAAACACGGAGGAATTGGAAAGAGTAAGTATAACAAAATTTTCCTAATACCTTTCTACACACAAAAATGGAGCCCTGTAACCTACACTAGAATAGAGGAGATGTGATTTGCGAAAGCATACATATTTTGTTGTCAGAGAGAGTGAGAGAGAGAAGAGAGGAGAGAAAGTGTGAGAGAGGGGAGGAGGGGAGAGAGATTGAGAGAGAGGGAGAGAGACGAGAGAAAGTGTGAGAGAGATGGAGAGCGAGAGGGAGAGCGTGAGAGAAGATGAAGAGGGGAAGAAGGGAGCAGAGAGGGACAGACAGTGAGAGAGAATGAGAGTGAGACATGAGAGAGAATGAGGGAGAGAGAGAGAGAGAGAGAGAAGAGAAAAAGCGGGAGAGAAGAGAGACAGACAGACAGACAACGACTGAAAGTACACACGAGCCCACTGACCTATGCTCACACACCCATCCATTGTCGCAGGAACCGTCAGACTTGATGATGACGTCCTTGGCCGAGTAGTCGCTGTTGTGTGGGGGGCCCTCGTTGCTGTCGGTGAAGAAGTAGCTGCTCATAATCCTGGTAAATCCGTAATCATTGGCCAAGGTAAATGCTACAGCTCGTTTGTACTCATCGCCATTCTGGAACATTCATTTCAGTTCTTTAATGTTTTGCCTCATGATTCTAGACCGATTGTCGCGGAAAAAATAGTGTAGAATTACAAATTATTGATTTAAGAATGGATTGTCGTGGAAAATAGCGTAGAATTACAAATTATTGATTTAAGAATGGATTGTCGGGGAAAATAGCGCAGAATTACAAATTATTGATTTAAGAATGGATTGTCGTGGAAAATAGCGTAGCATTACAAATTATTGATTGAAGAATGCGTATCATAGATCCAAGATCCATCTGGAACGGGTCTTGATAGATCCCTATAGATGCTCCGTCTGCCACTGCAGATGGCTTTAGGTGTGGAAGCTGAATGTTCCTCTAGAACACTGATTATACACACTGACTGACTTTCTTCCCCGCCAGGACATCACACAAGCGATAAACACTAGATAACACAATGTGCCACCATGTGGATGAGGATCACCGTGGAAAGGTCCCAGAAACCGCGTTCAGCCAATTGGTGATATTTATGGCCTGGCTATATTGCGGCCCCTGGCAAGAGCTACGGTGGGGCTTCAAATGACGAAAAATGTTATCCTAAAAAATAAGTCAAAATATTGGTAGGTCGATTATACACACGTCGTTCTCTTCCTCTTATACCCTCCTAATTCCTCATTTACACATTCTTACACACATTCTTACAAGTGTTATTTCATATATTCGTGTGTCTTCTACCAACAATCATGCATGTGTGGTCTTTAGAATGTCTTGTGTGTCCAGTACGAGTGTTCCTATGGCTTTTGTAGCTTGAAAATCCCCTCTTTCATTCCCTCGCACTCCTCCACCTAACAGACAACATATCCATGTGGTCCCCTGCAGTGTTGACATTCTGAAGCTTGGTCACACTCAGGTCACATTTGTCTATTTTAAACCTTCCGCAGGGCCGACTGAGAATCAGACACCATAATTTCCCAGGTAACTTTTTTTCTGCTATCCATCTCAGAACTGCAGTGATTGCCTCCACCTCCATTCTCATGTTTGAAGTTTTGTACCTTGACTTGATTTGAAAAAAAAAATCCTTTCGTTTCACCATCGTCCCCGAAAAGGCGAAAAAAAGGGGGTGTGGGGTGGGGTGGGGGGGGGGGGGGGGGCTTTTGCTGAAAATTATGACTAGGTTTGTGTGCGCTAAATAAAATGGCTTGGCATTGCTCTTGCCACCAAGTAGTCTTAAAAAAGCATTCTTGTAAGGTTGATGCGATTACAAGATTTTACAATTATGTGCGTATCCTTTACAGGACGTTGCAGAAGCAGCACCAGCACTTTCTGGCTATGGTGGTTTCTCTAGGTAAATTTACGCCTCGTAGTTTGCCATTGCTTCTTGACGGTCGGCTCTCGGTACCACTGTCGAAACCAACGCAAGACAAGCTGTCCGCAGCAGGGATCGAACCCGGCATCCCCGGCATTACAAAGCGCGTTGATCAAAAGATAGCGAGCCAAATAGTGCCCCGACCGACGACGAAGCTGTCCACAGGCCAGCCAGTGGTGGCCTGGTCGCCGATTATGCTCTAATAATTTTTTTTTTTCCTTTCGTAAGAGACTTTCATCTGTCTTGGTGAGGATTGCTTGTTTGCTTTTTCATCACTCTGTGATATTCTTTGCATTCTTCTTAAAAAAAAAAAAAAAAAACACATCTCAGTCCCGAATATCCATATCTGTTTACTGTCCATGTCTCACGTGCATGCAACCGAGTCTAAAAATCCCTTAGCATTATAATCATCATTATTATTATTTAGTAGGTCCTTTCCACAACGTCACTCTAATCACATTCTGCCTGACAGAAACTCGGTCTCCCGCCAGCTTTTGAGCTTCGTGTACTTCCATATTGAAGGAGTCACTTATATCCTGTGCCCATCTTCGTATCGGTCGGCCCAGCCCCTCCTTCCTGGTACCATGCCTTCTGCTATTATTTTGTCCCAATCCGTCATGGCGCTTTATATGACCAAAATAGTTCAGCTTCCGAGACAAGATGCTGTTTACTTGTCAATCTTTCTTGATGTTCAGATCATTCAACATGACGGTGTTTCCTCTCTTCTTCGTCCATGGTATTCTAGTAATCTTTCTATAGCATTTCAGCCGGGGATCCAGGGTTCAAGCCCTTGTGAAAGCTGGGATTTTTTCACATAGACTTATTGTAATTTCTTCGTGGTCTTTGGGTAGTAAGATCGGACGCCCGTGTGCATTCTTCCCCACGTCAAAAATCACTTGGCAGTTGAAAATCGAAAATAGTAGCCGAATGCTACCCACAGTTTTTCAGGATCCTCGCCAGTGCAACAGAGTTCGTGCACTGCACTGAGATCCTCAGACTCAGGCTTGAGTTAGAAGTAGAACAGAGCTTTTATGGGTTACACCCGTGTGAAATTATGTTGATCCGTCGTATAAACATAACCAAGCAAACAAACTTAACTGCATCTGGTGTCTTCTTAAGTGATGATAGCGGCCTACTCAGAACCGAACTAAACACCGTCCCGGGCAAGGCTCATGATTGCTTTCCGAGATAGTGCTCGCTCATTAGCTTGCTACATGGTGATACTGTGATTCAGCAAGTTGTTAACTCCATCTATCCATGTTCTTCTTGGCCTTCCTCTGCCTCTTGATGTTTACATTATCGTAATGTATGCTCTTGCAACCGGTGATACTAAGTTCATTCTGACCAGGTGGCTAAACGGTCTCAGTGTTTGCTTGTCAATAAATATAATTACAGGTGTTGTTCCCACTATTTTAATATGTTCTTTTCTTGTATGGTTTCTTCTTGATTTGTTGACTGCTTTTCTCAAACATCTCATTCAAATGTCGTTCGTTTCCTCTCTTGTTCTTTTGTTAACGCCCAGGTTTGGCATTTGCAACGCAGTGTTGGTAAAAAGATTACTTTTATTAATTGTCTTTTGAAATAGAGCCCAAATTAAAGCAGTGGGTCTATGTACCCCTACCACCCCCTCCCCTTTGCCCTAAAAATACTGAGGCCTTGATACCCTCGCTGGAACCTGGCAACAACATCTCACCTTGTATGTCAGGGACTCGGTGCCTCGTTGTGTGTCGTGGTTATCCACGAAGACGAAGGCATGCTCGGGTGGTGCCATGCCCCAGCCAGGATCATAGACAGCGTCCAGCCGACCCAAATCACTGGCACCTTCTCGAACCTTCTGTAGATAGCGGAACTCTGATGTGAGGACATAAAGATATACGAGCTCACCGGCTGTCTACACGCCACCTAAATTTCAGGTTTCTTAGTTACCATCAGGAACCCTATAATAACATTATGGTTGAACAGGGTTTAATGGGATTTGTAGACTTAGGATTGTCATCTTTGAAGGGATAATCTTGCAAGCAGCAATTGTGGATGTGACAAACCTTTTGCTTCTTGTTGGAGTCATCTGTCTCTGCAAACTGCAATTCTGGTTGTCACAAACCTTTTGCTTCTTGTTCGAGCGATTAGTCTCTAGTCAGTGTCATATATCTAATGTTTTTAAACAAGAACTGTCAAATTAGTTAGTTAATTAGTAATTTAGCTAGCCAGTTAGTTAGTTAGTTAGTTAGTTAGTTAGTTAGTTAGTTAGTTAGTTAGTTAGTTAGTTAGTTAGTTAGTTAGTTAGTTAGTTAGTTAGTTAGTTAGTTAGTTGGTTAGTTAGTTAGTTAGTTAGTTAGTTAGTTAGTTAGTTAGTTAGTTAGTTAGTTAGTTAGTTAGTTAGTTAGTTAGTTAGTTAGTTAGTTAGTTAGTTAGTTAGTTAGTTAGTTAGTCTACCTCTTGCTCTCTTGCCTGGACCTTTCACTGCAGTATGATCTTTAAAAAAAGTGTTTTGTCATTTAATAAGGCCAGAGTATTTCAGTTTCGCTTTTTCATTTCTTTCATTAACTCTCCTTTCATTCCCAATCTTTCCAGACGCTCTGGATTTGATTGTAAACAAGATTGTGACCAGACTTAGCAGTGCAATATTCCATATTCCAGCGCACATTTCCCGGTAAATGAAAAACTGTCTCACACCCAATGTCCAATTCTCCCACAGTGATGACAGAGATGAAATGTTTCACATGTGTGCTGATTCCATTTACAGACGGCGGCGGTTCGGCTGTGTTTGTTTTGGGGGCGCATGAATTGAAAGCACAGATTCACCCCCCCCCCCCCCCCCCCCCCCCCTTCCCTCCCTCCACAGTAATTTTAGGGTGCGATGAATGTGGAATTAAGAATCGACATCAGAGCACTCGGGACACCACCATAAGTGCTTTAAGGGTGCGCTGAGCCGACATTTTATTGTCCCAAGTAAATTTGCAAGGCGGTTATGTGTAACCACTACCCCGCCCATTTCAACCCTTCTTCCTGTTTTTCCCGCTACATAGAAAAATTGGTGTTGTTGTTTGTTTGTTGTTTGATTTAGTTGTTCGTCCTTTTCTTGACTTTGGCTTCGTTCCAGTATCTGAGGTTTGCGTGTGCATCCGTTTTACAGATCTCGCTAATTTGTATGCAGAATATTGATTTCTAGCCTCTCAGGCAGATGCACTTTGACTTCAAAGGAAGCTCCCAATTAGTCGGCTCTTACGACATGCTTGTTGGGGAGGCAGTGGGTCTATTCTTGTTTTCCCCGCAATGAAGCCCAGGAACACATCCGATAAGAGAAATTATAATGTCCGCGTCCATTCTTGGAGAGAAAAAAAAAAAAACTACCATGTTTAACCTGCTCTCCGGATATATTTACGGTCTGAAATTTGGGTTTTTAAGCACTGGTTTATATAAGAAAAAGTAGAGATCCCTTTTCACGCCTTAGGCGCAGTGGGCATATGGGAAGAGCACCCATATTTTTACAGACCATTTGGCATTAGGTGGGTAATGTGGTCAGCATTACCCCAGCCGTCTTTACTTCCCCAGGACATACATCCTGGTACCAATTTTAGGCTGCGTCCACCGGCTACGACGACTTTAGGCGTATTGTGCATGTAGGGCTATATTTTATACACCAATTAGCATTTGGTTTGTGATGTGGTCAGCATCACGCCGGCAACCTTTACTTCCCAAGACTTTACCTGGAACCCGTTTAAGACAGGGTCAAACTGGAAGCTAAAGTCATATTTGGAAAAATCTGGCTCAATCCCGATTTCCAACCCAGGACCTTTAAATCCGCTGGCGTGCGTCTAGCTGCTACGACGCGGAGCCTGCCCATGAAATAAATAATCCCCTACGACAGTAAACCTGCCTTGCTTTAGTTTCGACAGTGGTAACGAGAAGCCGACCGTTTATCAGCAACAGCAAACTACTGGACGTAAATTTGTTTAGAAAAACCACAACAGCCAAAACCTGCTAGGGTTGGTTCTGCAATGTCCTGTAAAGGATACGCAACTAACTAACTACAAACATATTCAGAAGTTCTCTTTTCAAACAGTTTTACATCACATGTAAATTCGGGTATGTAGTTAAATATACCTGGCATTGACATTATTATTAGTTTTATAATTATATAAGCCCGCTATTGGAAGAAACATGCGAGGAAAAACATACCTGTCACCCATCCAAGATCAAAGTACTCGTCGACTCTGATGGCGCCGTCGTTTCTGTCAATCACTTCATGAGCAAAGAAGGGGCGTCCACCTTCTGGCAGGTTGTTTGTCTAAAATACATAACACAACATATTTTAATGCTTCCCTTAAGGTTGCTTTGCACACTTTGCTCTTGAGGCCAAGATGGTGATTGTAGAATGGACACCATAAATTACAGTGAATACCCATTGATGCTTTGTCCCACGCAGCAAACGTCTTAAGACGTAGATGTTAAGTGTTTCCGTAGCACACTGATAATCAACACATCCGTATCATCCTCTCATGCATCCATCCTTGCCGGACACACTCCTAATTTCACGGTCACCCATTTTTACACATGTTACTTCAAATATCCGTGTGTCCTTTTATCCACATTCGTTCTGAATCTACCCTCTGAGTGTTCCTGTAGGTATCTTTTTGTGTGTATGTGTAGCCCATGAATCCGCTCTTTCTTTCCATCGCACTCCTGCATATCCCAGACAGCAAGTACACGTTGGTCCCTTTATGGGTGACGTTCTGAAGCAATACAATATCTAAATGCAAATGAGGTTTTTGGGGGAATGTTCTTTTTAAATCTGCAATATGTAATACAAACACCACGTCAAAATACAGGAATAGCTGAACCTTTTGCCTCGTGTTCTGAAGGTTGTGGGTTCACTTTGTGTTTTATGTAACTCTTTCTGATTTGGGGGAAGAAACAGACAAAGTTATATGGGACAAAACAAAGGCCAAGAAAAAAAAAAAAAAAGTCGACATTCTCTACTTTAAGTAGCATTTAGTCAAAGAGGTGCTTCAGGCAGATTGATTGTTTGCCTTCAGGGTGATGGCAGAGAAACAAATCGTTCTTGTGGCTGGTATAATAGGGTTATTCCCGGAGTACCATGAAGATAACTCAAATCGTAACTCATAACTTGCAATACATAATGCCCCATAGCATGAAAATGCACTTGAACTATGATGTTACATAAATAAATATAAAGATGTAGTACAAAATCATCATCGTCATCATCAGGTGCCTTGCCGACTGGCGTGGGCGATCATGCCTCTCCATAATGCACGATCTCCTGCAGCATGTAACAGTTCGTGTGCAGACACACCTCCATGCCATACAACAAGACCGTCAAGAATCTTCTCTCGTTGTCTTCCTCTATCCCTCCTTCCATAGATCTTTTCAGTGGTCACAACATGTTCTATTTTCCCCCTTCTCATAACATGGCCGAAAAATGATGACTGTCTCCTTCTGATGTCTGTGATAAGTTGTCTTCGGGCATGTACAAAATACATCGGTGAAAGAGGGCTACGACTCGCTGACAGGTTCTGGCAATCCCTTTTTGACGTGCAGAATAGTTGTCTCAAACCGGTTCTAATACATTTCAGTTCTCAAGGTCATCGAGCTGTCATCAAAATAGAGGTTATGGCCATCAGGTCTACCCACTCAAATGACACAGCCAGTAAGTCTCTTGATAACAGCATCTAAATAATGAGCTTCAATTCGCCTAAGGGACTTAACGTCCAACAAACCGTCTAAAATTGGTTTAGTTAAGTCCCTTATCTGTCACAGCTTTTCTGGCGGAAATTAATTTCACATGTTCACACATGTGTTAGAGTGTCATCTGGACATACTAACAAATGGACTTCTTTCCGAGATACCTCAGTTAAATGATGCTATGGATTCCTGTTCGTAACTAATAATATCTACTCATGTAATGCGCTTATGAAGGCTTTTTAGCCGCAACATTCGCTTGTCGTTTATGTGTACAATATTGTAAAGCTGACTAATTGTACACATTGGTTACAGCAGTAAAAGAAGAAGTGCAGAAAAATAATTAATGAACTTAGTACCAGTTAGAGCAGCGACTCTCAACCTGCGGGTCACGACCCCTTTGTGGGTCGAATGACCCTTTCGCATGGGTCGCCTGAGACCATTAGAAAACATATATTCATTGAAGTTATGAAGGAAAATATTTGTGTTTTGCCACAACACAAAGGAAACTATTAAATGGAAGCGGCATTAGGAAGGTTGACAGCCACTGAGTTAGAGTGATGATAATGATCATGAGAATGAGAACGATAACGAGTCTGTTGGTGATACAATTATGGTGATAAAGACGATGAAGATGAAGACGTTGACAACAAAGAGGATGGTGATTGCGGTGGTGGTGTTAGTAGCAGTGGTGTTGGGGGCAAATTTCTAGCAGTTTTTTAAAGAACAGCCAACTTCTGGATCCTATTCGAGAAACGGGGGGGGGGGGGGAGGGAGGTTAAATCTATTGCCTCCCCAGCAGGCGTCGTTCAAAGCGACGAATTAGAGAAGTTTCCTTTTATGTCGGAGTGCGTCTGCAGGAGATGCGAGAAACCAACAGTTTGCATACAGATAATCCAGATCAGAAAAATAGATGTTTAGGCAAAACTGTGGTTCTGGAACAAGACCAATGTCAAGAAATGGACGAACAACCGTAACTGTGCGCCGGAGTTTACAGCTAGTGAAAGCTAAGAGAGAAAGAGAGAGAGAGAGAGAGAGAGAGAGAGAGAGAGAGAGAGAGAGAGAGAGAGAGAGAGACAGACAGACAGACAGACAGACAGACAGACAGACAGACAGACAGACAGACAGACAGACAGACAGACAGACAGACAGACAGACAGACAGACAGACAGACAGGACAGACAGACAGACAGACAGACAGACAGACAGACAGACAGACAGACAGACAGAACTAAGCAAGTTCCATTCGACCAAAAGATAAAGAAAAGACGCTGGCGTTGGATAGGAAACGCATTGAGAAAACCGGAGCACAATGTAACTAGAATGTCTTTGCATTGGAACCCACAAGGGCATAGAAATAAAGGAATGCCAAAAAACACATGGAGGAGGAAGCTGGAGAATGAAGTTAGAGAGATGTGGAGAGCAGAATGCGATAGCAAAGGATTTAATTTAATTAGGGGTCGCGTTAGCGCAGTCGATAAGAGACTCGCTTTCAAATCCAGCTACGACTCGCTGCAGCCCACGGTCGGTGTTCGAAACCCGGCGGTTCGTGGGGTTCACCCAGCCTCTAGGAAATGGGTACAGGAGTTGACACTCTGCGGTAAATGGAGGAACGTCGCTGTAGCTACAGAGTTACGTGCGAATGGCGACACAGGCGGACAATTCTTATCAGCTGTCCGCACTGGTGGCAGAGCACTTATGGTTTCTAACCGTGTGCAATGACGCTGGTTGACATCTCCCTAGTTTACCTTTACCTTTTAAAGGATAGAACGACTTGGCGTGAGTTGGTTGAGGGCCTATGCTCCACTGGGGGCAAGAAAGGCAGAAGAAAAAAAAAGAAAGCTAAGAAGAATAACCATAGCTACCTGACCTTAGCTTGGATGCCCTTGATGTCCTCAGGCCACATGTGTTTGGAAGCATCCACCCGGAAGCCAGCGACCCCGAGAGAGATGAGATGGTTGAAGTATCCAGCTACCTTCTCCCTAACATAATCTTGGCTCCCGTCAAGGTCGGTCAACCCCACCAGGTTACAGTTTCGCACATTCTTGGGATCTCCATAACTATTTTTTAGAAGTGAAATTTACAAGTGAACGTTATACAACAGAGATCATGAGATATCTTTTTGACGATATCGAGAAACACTAAATACACAGACGATTGTGAATCAAAAAGCTGAGCGAAAGGAACTGAAAAGGCACATACACATACAACCGAACCGTTTCCACCAAATTCTTGCTGTAACGATGATTGTACGTTGTGCGGGTTTTTTAAAGTCCATTGTTTGAGCTTTCTAATTTTACTCTCCCAATTGTAATTGTACTCTGTTTTTCTCTCTCACTCACTCATATAATAAACACAAACACACACCACACACACACAAAAAGACAGGAATTTATCTAAATGATCAACATCCAGGTGTTGCTGACAACACAACAACAACAATTTAAAACTAACCACACACACTAAAAACACAAATGCGGAAGAGAAAGGGTGTGGAAGATAACAATTCTCACATACTAGCAACTCATGTGCGGAAGAGGAAGGGTATGAAAGATAACAATTCTCACAAACACTAGCAACTCATGTACGGAAGAGGAAGGGTGTGAAAGATAACAATTCTCACATACACTAACAACACAAGTGCGAAGAGGAAGGGTGTGGAAGACAACAATTCTCACACACACTAGCAACTCATATGCGGAAGAGGAAGGGTATGGAAGATAACAACTCTCACACACACTAACAACACAAGTGCTGAAGAGGAAGGGGTGTGGAAGATAACAATTCTCACACACAAACAACACAAGTGCGGAAGAGAAAGGGTATGGAAGATAACAATTCTCACACACACTAATAACACAAGTGCGGAGGAGAAAGGGTATAAAAGAAAACAATTCTCACTTGTTTACATTCCCATCTCCAGATGGGCAGTCGCTCCTCTTATGAAAGTGTTCTGCGGTGAAGGGTACACCAGGGAAGTCGTGATTGTCTGAGTTGAACGGGCTACCAGCTGTCCCAGTCCCACTTCGACCCAGTCCAGCCATGTGGTTGACCACCGCGTCCACGATAATTCTGCAATAGTGTGTAGGATAGTTGAAGTGACACCAGATAGTGATTGATGATTTGTCGATGGAAATGTTTTGCTAATGTTTGAGATTTCGTCGACTGAGTTATGAGTTAGATTATCTTCACATCACTTCGGACACCTCCATAGGTGCTCAGATTAACTGTTCAGCATATTCATCAGCCTCTCGTGGTTAATAGTGCCAGTCCTATGATGGTTGACAAGACTTCGTCTGTGTCCGCTGTGCTTCTCATGTTTGACGCTACCGATCTTTACTCCAAGTCCTCAAATTCTTAGAAGTGATGTGGACACGTTGCTTCTAAAATTTTCAGAACCTTCGATCTCTCTAAGGGCATTGACAATATCTGTGAACTTCATTAGACGAACCACTGCAATTAGACAGGATTTGACAATATATCAGCTCTTTCATTGCCAACAACACCTGCATGCCCTGGGACGCATTTGGAGTCAAACAACGAATTAGGTTAGAAACCTGAGGTGTCACTGTTACTCTGGCGAAGTTCGTCCTAACACCCTTCCCACTTCTCATCCTCATCCCTTCCTACTCCTCATCCCTTCCTACTCCTCATCCCTTCCTACTCCTCATCCCTTCCTACTCCTCATCCCTTCCTACTCCCCATCCCTTCCTACTCCTACTCCTCCTCTTCCCTTTCTTCTCCTTCTTATCGTAATCGCCGTTTCATCTGCTAAAAATAAACAATGACATCATCTGATGCTACAGCTGCGATCCAACACCACTACCACTATATTACTACTAACTCTACAAATATTACTGCTGCTACAGCAACAGAAAACAACAACTACTACTGCGGCTACTACTACTGCTACTACTACTGCTGCTGCTACTACTACTTCTACATCTATTACTATTACTGCTAAAACCACAACAACATCAATAATAACAACAACTACCATTATTACAGCTGCTGCTACCAAAATAACAATAAGTACTACTGCTGCTGCTACCGCCGCCGCCGCCAACACTACAACATCTACTAATTCTATTACTACAATGTTTACTACCACTACTACATCTACTACACCATCTATACATCTAATACTACTACCCCAGCCTTGTGTGGGTACCGGGTGCAGTCCCGGCACGTAGAGGCAGCCGGCTTGATGCTGACCACATCACCCATCTTGTGCCGATTGGTCTATAAAAATATAGGTCTAGCCCTATTTGCCCTATACGCCTAAAGGCATGGAAAAGGTCTTTTACTTACTTACTTACTACTACTACTGCTGCTACTACCACCACCACCACTACTACTACTACTTTGTCCTCATCGCTCTTCCTCCCCTACTATATCTACGACTACCACTACTACAACTACCACTGCTGCTACTGCTACTACTACTACACCTACTACTACTACTACTACTACTACTACTACAATACTACTACTACTACTACTACTACTACTACTACTACTACTACTACTACTACTACTTTACCTACTACTACATTTACTACTACTTATAATATCAATATTATTACTACAACCACTACATTTACTACTACTACTACTAACGATAACACTACTACTACTACCACTACTAAATTCACTACTACTACTACTACTAGATTTACTACTATTACTACTACTACTATTAATAATACATTTCCAGCTACTACTACTATTACATTTGCTACTACTACCTTTACTACTACTACTACTACATTTACTGCTTCTGCTACTACTGCTAATTTTACTACTACTAGATTTCTTCTCTTACCAATAACACTACATTTACTACTACTACTACATTTACTACTCCTACGTTTACTACTACTACATTTACTACTACTACATTTACTACTACTACTTTACTATTTTGTCCTCATTGCCATTCCTCCCCTTTTCTGCAGTACCATTTACAACATAACGTGGCCTACTTACCGTACACCTGCCTTTTTACACCTAGCCACCATGTCAGCAAACTGTTCCTCATTACCGCTTCTGCTGGTCAGTTTGTAGCTGACCGGCTGGTAGCGCTCCCACCATGGTCGGTTACCGTCAGTGGTCACCATCACGTGCTCCATCGGAGGGGAAACCTGGGCAGAGTTGACCACATCACACATTGTATGACTGAGAGGCAAACAACCAACAGTCTGCATGTAAACGAGTCAGACCTGTGAAACGGATGCCCACGCAACACACAGTTTCTAGTACAGGATCAGAGTCCAGAAGTGGACGAACAACCCGAACTTTCCGCCCTGGAGTTTACAGCCAGTGAACGCGAAGAAGACAAAGTATGGTTTTCGTGGCCGAGCATTTGTGTAATGATAATAATTGTAAGAAGACGCAACAATACACCTGATGATGATGATACACTATTCGTATTCGTATTCGGCCGATTAGTTGGTCCCACTATTCATATTCGGCCGAATAGTGAAAACCACTATTCGGTACAGCCCTAATCATTAGGGATAGAAGAAGTCAACGAGGTAAGGATACAAGGAGGGAAAAAATTACGATATAATGATACACTGATACAAGGAAACAATAGTTATAGGAAATAAGAATTCGAAACATGCAGGAATCAAAGATTCATTCGTACACGAATTCAAAGCGGCAATAATACAAGGAGACAGGCCGACACAGAGAGAAAAAGTTAAAGACAATGATCATGACGACGTTAGAGTTGGACACTCACTACGGAAATGGTAAGCAGGATTTAGGCTTTCGAAGATAATAAACACTATAGGCGAATTTTACTAATTCGCTTTTTATAACATGAAACAAACAAATGCGCTATCAGTGACAGACAAGGACAATGACAGACAAGAGAAATTACAGCGTCAAGCTGCCCATGTGTTCAAGAACAGTGGACTAAATCAACCAGTAATTTTTGTAATTCGAGAAACCTCAAGCCAAAAAAAAAAAAAAAAACGTTGAGGATATAATAACAGAAGAAGATGACGGGAGGCAAAGCCAGATTTTTGACACCATGGCCGTCTACGTATCTGAAACTAGGATACCGGATCCATTGTCTGGCTTGTTGTAACCACATTTAACACGGTGAATTGTTTGTTCCTACACCCTAGACAAAATTCTCTCACGTACGCTCACACGTACACACACACACACACACATCCACACACTAACTCTCTGCAACTAAATATATATATGTATATATATATATATATATATATATATATATATATATATATATATATATCATCATCATCATCTTCTTCTTCTTCTTTTTCTTCTTCTTCTTCTTCTTCTCTTCCACCTTGTACCTCACCTTATACACACACACACACACACACACACTAACTCTCTGCAACTAAATATATATATATATATATATATATATATATATATATATATATATATATATATATATATATATATATTTCCCCGCATATATCTATTATGTGTTTACATCTGACAATGTGTGTGTCTATATATATATGTTCATGTTTGTATTTGTTTGTATGCATCTAACCCATGCGGGTGTTTGTGTCTCTCTGTGTGTTTTTCTATGTGTGCCTATGTATGTATACTCTATCGATGTATTTGTATGTGTGTGTGTCTGTAACCGTATTTGTATGTATCAACATCACTCAGGCGTGGCACTGAGTCTACCATATAATCATCGGTCGTGAGTGCAGGGGCTGGCCAGCTGGTGCTGCAGAATCAGAAGTTCGACAAATGATTCATGACAATTTCCGCCCAGGTGATATAGTTATCTTTACAGATAGCTCTGTGTTGAGAGTTAGACGAAGTGCATGGGGGTTCATAGCAAAAGCTAACGGACGTCGCTTAGTGCAGCAAAGCCTGGCATGTATCACACTGTATAGTCTGAGAATGCAGGTGGAAACAGTCACTGTTGCCTTCCACTAGACTCAGTAGTCGTAATTGTAACTGCCTCACAGACTATGTTGAGAAGGGTGGAGACAGGCATGCCCCGTGCAGAGTGGCAAGCATCGCTCCAGAATTTCCAGGTAGGTAATATCATTTTGATATTTCTTCAGGTGATGCTGGTGTGTTGGGAGATGAGTAGGCAGACTGACTGACTGACTGACTGACTGACCAGTTCTGCAACCAATTAGTGGGGAACTGATGTATGACAATCTAGACGTTGCGAGTGCAATTTGCTGCTGAAAATAGGGACGGGGCGCTTATGTAGGTGCCCCGAGTGAAATGATATAAAATCCTAATTCAACATTCAACATTCTGAGTCTACCAAACAAATATAGAGTTGTTGAAGTAGTTGAAACTCTACGTCTAGTATAAGCAACATATGTGACTGAAATACTCTTCCACTATTTCTAACCATAACTCTTATTAATCTGTGGTGGGATTTTCGAATTTGAAATATGTCTGAAGCTACAAACTTCGCATTTTTATTAACAATTCTGAGCACAAAAAAAAAAATAAACTGCCGAGAATTAATCATCTTGTTAAAAAAAAATGGATTTCCTTATTTTTTATGTTTGATCTGGGCAAAGACCGTGGCTCAGGTCCTGGCGCAGCAGCACTATTTTTTTTTTTTTTTTTGGGGGGGGGGGGGGGGATATAATTTTTTTTTAAATGTGAAATGACCTTGGCTTCCATGTCAACCAATCTTAAAATAGTACCGTGTACAGTCCTGGGAAGTAAAGGCGACCGGTGTGATATTGATGACATTACCAACCGATTGCGGACTGGTTAAAAAATATTAGACTAACCCTATATAGCTAACACACCTGGAGATGTGGAATAGACTCCTTTACTTGTGTTCCTTTACTTACCTGCACTGCGCAAAAGCCTTTGGGCCCAAGGTATCTCTCACATTCACTAGCTATGTCCGGCCATTTCCACTCGAAGAGATGAACTATGACCTGTTTGCCATCGCAGTGAGGGTCGTGATAGTCAACACCATCGGCAAAATCTGCAAAATGACTTATGCGAAGTTATAACAATCGACGTTACTGCACATTAGGCATTGCCTTTCGTGTTCGCTCTTCCGATGCAGCAGCCACTCCAAGGTACCTCTGCTAACTGTTCCCAAGAGAAGTTGTTTACAGTGTCTACGGCCTTGAATAAGAAGGACGGCATAGGTGTGCTTCCCCAAGCGCCTTATTCCCTGGTCAGAGATTCATCATTATCCCCCAGTCCAGTTAGTATGTGTTTTAGCAATACGTTTACAATTTTAGTGACTCCTGTCTTGACCTCAAAGAGGGCATAGAAGTGCTTCACTAAGATTGATACCCAGGTCACGCAATCGACAGGCACTGAGTGGATCTGCTTGACAACGGCAGATCCATCATAATCCCCGACAGTGAAACCTCCAGTGAACATTAGTTTTGTTGCAGAACTTGAGTGTTTCCTGGTATCCGTTTCTGATTGACAAAAAGGTTGGTGGAATGGCTTGTAAAATTACAAGTAAAGAACCTTTTTCCACGCCATTAGGCGTATTGGGCATTTAGGGCAAATTGTAATGAGGTTTCTTTTTTGGTATCCCACTCCAAGACGTGGAGTTGTACACCTATTTGAGCAGTAATATAGGTGATAAACTGGAGGAACTGATAGAGATATATAAAATACGAATACAAAAGGCAAGAGCAGCTTTCTTAACACCAGGAAATTTGTGGAGGTCAAGAGAAATTAAAATTAATACTAAACTCGACATTTTTATTTCGGTCTCAAATCAGTTCTGTTGTATGGAGCAGAAACATGGAGAACAACTAAGGCAATAGCTATAAATTTTACAAACATTCATTAACTGGTGCCTGTGCAGAAGAGAGAGAATTAAATGGTATGATAGAATCACTAATTCAGAGCTTCGGGAGAGAAGTAAACAAGTTCCAGTGGAATGAAGAGGTTAAGAAAAGAAGCTGGCTTTGGATAGGACGCACGTTGAAAAAAAAAAAACATGACAACAATATAACTAGAATGTCTATGCACTCGGAACCCACAGGGGCATAGAAAAAAAAGAAGAAATCAAACACACATAGAAAAGGCAGTTAGAGAGTGAAATTAAGTAGGACGAGCAGGGGGATGGGGGAGGGGGGGGGGGCATGGAGAGAGCTGCATGCAAAAGCAAAGGATGTGACTTTGTGGGAGATAGATGACGGCCTATGCCCCACTGGGGGTTAAAAGGCAGAAGAAAAAAAAACTGGTGTAACTAAATGACTCACTTCGATGATTAATTTTGAATACAAGTTTAACATTAAAGTTGAGATGATCGACTTTATTTGCACTTAGTTCTTTACCACACGGCTTCGTCTGTAGCCGCGGACCAGCTACCTTAGTGGTTCTCAACCTGCGGGTGGCGATCCTGTTTTGGGTAGAACGACCCTCTCACTGGGGTCGCCTAAAACCATAGAATTGTAGATTCAGAAAATGGCGCGATGCCTGCCGTGCAGTGTTGTGGTGCCCGTATGTGATTAAAATTGATCGCGTGGGCAACTGCTGATCTGTTGGCGACTTCTGCTACCATCAATGATAAACTGCAATTCTAATACTGTGATAAACATTCTGTGTGTTTTTCGTTGGCACAGGAGCGGATCAAAGATGGGGTGACCCGTTTGCTATGAAGCTGAAACTAAAACTACCAGACTACAATAGAAAAACACATATTCATTGAAGTTATGAAAGAAAATAATTGTCTGGGACTCGCCACAACATGAGTGAACTGTACTGAAGGGTCGCGGCGTTAAGAAGGTTGAGAACCACTGAGCTAGCTGCTCACCGATAGCGTCGCACAAAGCACGAACTCCCTATGGTAGCCAGGATTCTCCATGATCATTGCTCAGATGAACTTAACGATGCAGCGGTGAAACGAACCCATGACCTTCAGCGCGTGAGGCAAATAGCCTGACCACCTTGCCACGGAGATTCCCGAAACAAGCATGGCCATACCAAGGATTCGAACCTAGGTCTTCTGCATGAAAGTCCAACGTTCTTACCATTCGTAAATATAGATATTTCATAAGTCCCTCTGCAGTGACTAAATATTAGGAACAACACTACACAAGTTTCAGTCAACGCCTGTAGCTCAGGCGGTTCTAATGCTCTTCGTAATGCAGGGGTGTCAGGTTCGACCCCAGCTGCGTACGTTTGTCTTGCGTTGGTTTCGACAGTGGTTAAGAGAGCTGACCGTTCAGTGGCAATGGCAAACTTCTGAACGTAAAATTTGCCTAGAATAACCACAACAGCCAAAAAATGCTGGGGCTGGTTCTGCAACGTCCTGTAAAAGTTACTTTGGCTATGGAGCAATGACTCTCAACCTTCCTAATGCCGCGACTATTTAATACAGTTCCCTCATGTTGTGGCGACCCCCTAACATTTTGTTCCCCTCATAACTTCGATGAATATGTGTTTTCCGATGGTCTTAGGCGACTCCGGTGAAAGGGTCGTTCGACCCCCCCAAAAAAAGGGTCGCGACCGGCAGGCTGAAAACCGCTGCTATGGAGGGACTTATGAAATATCCTTAAGCATTTTTAGTCTTGAGACAACGAGCAGATTAAAAACTTACAAGCGGTGCCCAGAAAAATAAGTACAACACTCTCGAAAATAAACATTGTTTATGTCCCGATACAAGCTGTCCGGTGACTTTTAAATAATGGTGGAAACTTCATACAATGCCTGACTTTGGTAACCTTTTTTTTTTTTTCAAGCAAGATCGGAAGCCATGTTATCTTTGTCGGTCAAGGTTGCAGTAGTAGACAGTGCTGTCAGAAACGGCTCTATACTTCTGTTCATGTAGATTCTGTTTCTTAGCTTTAACCCCCTCCCCCCCCCCCCCCCCCACACAACACAAACACTGGCTTATTGTATTATAGTTTACAACTATGCTGCGATATTGGAACCATTTGGCCCAAAACATTCGTTTTCAGCGGGGTTAGATTTTTTTTTTTTTTGTCTGTCGGAGGCAAAATAAAAATCCTCACCTGCACTAGCCATGCGGCTGTAAATTTTCAGGCTCAAAGAGGGAAGTACCTATACCATACAGAACAGCATTTTTTTTTTTTGGCTCTTGTGGGTTTTTTTAAAGGTAAAGTTACGTTCAATTGTTTGCCATTGCTCGCTGTACGGTCAGCATATGCCTAAAGGCGTGGAAAAGGGACCATTACTTTAGTTACTGTTACTTTCCAGCTCTCGCATCCACAATGACCACTATGCGGAAAGGCAATGAAGAATAATAAACTAGCACACAATCGGTGTCATCAGCCGCTAGTGATATATTAAATATGGGTCATGGGCACTAATTACTAAATGAAATCTATGTGCAGTAAAGAAGATCTGACAACCACTAACGAACGTCTCTTAACTTCTCCGGGGATCTCTTCTTAACCCAAAGTAACAGTCGTACTCTTTATTACATCACAGTTAAGACGGATTTGTCTTTTCCTAATCATCAGAATGTGTTTTCTTTTCCAAAAAAACCATTACACATGACATATCTCAAAAGACAAGTGAACTTTTTAGAGTTACCGAATTTATCTTGCCGCCAAACACTGTGGCCTGAAACACGGCAACTAGACTTCGTGGTTCCTGTGTTTTTCTTATCTCTAAGGTTGCAGTTGATAGTGATTCCTTGTTGCTGTCTGTGTGAGTGTGTGTCTGTGTGTGCATGACGGTGGGAAATTTGGAGGGGAAAAAGGACAGAGGGAGACCGAGAGAACAGATGCTGGACAGTTTGACATCATGGCATGGAGGATAACCTGTATCAGTTTACTGAAAGTACACGAGACAAAAGGTTGTGGATAGACATGACTACCAATGCCACATGGCATAGACTTTAAGAAGAAGAAGTCAGTATGCATTATAGAATTACATTTATTTGTATATTCCTGAAACAACATCAAAGAAGTAAAAACTACTTGAATTTTGTCACCGATGGAATTTTTTTATTGCTCAGTGTTGACTATTTTAGCTGGGAACAGAAAACATCACCTGACAACAAACATCCCACAACAAATAACACTACAACAACTTACAGCTCACAATAAATTACTGACAAAGATTACCGACAAAGCAAACAACTGACAACAAAACAATAGAAAAAGAAAAAAAAAAACAAAACTTCACAACAAAACATAATAGCCGACAAACACACTGACAACAAATCCCTCATAAAAAACAACAGCAACTTTGGTGTCAGTTACAAATCTATCAGGGTGAAAGATGACCTGTGTGTGCAGCCTCGTCAACAAAAAGAAACAAAAGTTTTCACTGTGCTAGTGTCATTAGTAACATCATGGATGTCAGTCGCGAGCAGACTTGGTTGTGACTTGCAAGACCATGTAAAGGTGTTTCTAGAAACAACGATACCTTACATGTGTTTATTAAAACCAATGATATGATACACCTCTCTATAATCACAGTCTCACACTTATGATCTTACAATCACTTTCATCATACACATAACTATCCCTACAGTCAGTTATATTATAATGTAAGCTCCATACTGTCGCTTACATTATACATGTAAGTGTCCTTACAATCAGTTATGTCATACATATATGACTCCCTACAGACACTTGCATTATATATGTAAGTTTCCTTTCAATCATTTATGAGGGGAAGTCATTACTGTATGGAATAATATGCAAAGGAAAAAAATATTATTTTAAGATACAGAATGGCCCCTTTGCAATACCCAAAGTACGTGTGGTGATGATTTAGCAGTATGTACAGCACTGTTAACATGCACTGTGGAAGAGCAACGAGGTGTTATTTTGTTGTGTGTGTGGGCAGAGAGTGTTAAACTATCTGAAATCTAATAGAAGAATAAAGGTTCAATATAGACAGTTGTCTGTTTAGAGAAAATGTACGAATGGGTGAAAAGATTTTAAAATGAAAGATATAATGTCAGTGATGGTAAATACAGTAGGAAACCTGTGGCAACATATTTTTTTTTTTTAATTGGCCTCACCAAATGCT